TCTCTCGGTCTAGTCCTTCCACTCCTCATCCTCATCTCTCGGTCTAGCCCTTCATTGCCTCATCCTCATCTCTCGGTCTAGCCCTTCCTCTCCTCATCCTCATCTCTCTGTCTAGTCCTTCCTTTCCTCATCCTCATCTCTCGGTCTAGTCCTTCCTCTCCTCATCTCTCAGTCTAGCCCTTCCTCTCCTCATCCTCATCGCTCACTCTGGCTGGCTGTGGCAGCCATCTTAAATCAGGGTGACTGAAACATATTCAGTCGTCATCATCCTGGGCAAAAGCATTATCGCCCGCCATCGTCTTCCTGATGAGAAGCATTGAACGATGCTGACGCATGGACCGGCGGTCTCACCTGGACACCCATGCAGGCAAAAACACCTCACTGCATGTCCATAAACCTGGAGACCGGCTCGGAGACCACAGAAGACCTGAGTCCAGGATCAGGTTTAAAGCTCCTGCAGCTGCTTCCTTCGTTAGCTTTAACGGGATTTGGACGGATTACGTAACGAGCTTCGGCTGTGTTGCACAACACAACAGCTTCGCCCTCGCAGCAGAAAGCTGAAGATGTTAGATTCTCTCAGATGGAGCTCTTTACGTATTCATGTGTTCAGTCAGAACAAAGTAGAGCGGGTCGTCATGGAAACAGCAAAGTGGCTCACGGGGCCGCTCTCCTCCCGCAGTAACTTCCTGCCGTTTACCGTAGGAGTTATTTTTAACGGTAGTTATATAAGAAGCTGCTCCGTCCCGTCTCATCAGAGACGCCTGGACTTCAAAGTTTATTCAGTTTTACTTCAATTTAAATTCATTTATTGACTTATTTTGTTTTAATGCTTTAATCTTAAAGAGTGACATCATTATTCACTCAGAGGTTTGATTCCGCCCCAGCCGGGTCCAAACGTCCCCGCAGGTGACAAAGTAAACCCAAACTCAGCGGCAGGTGAAGGAGGAGGCGGAGCTTTTCACCCAGCATCATCATGGCTGCCGTTTGTATTTTGTAACCATCTGAGCGTCTTCCACAGAAAAGTGTCAATAAAGCATTTGTCCCCCCCCCCCCCCCGCAGGATGCTCCGAGTGCTGCCTCAAGTGTCTGGGTGGGGTGCCCTACGCCTCGCTGGTGGCCACCATCCTCTGCTTCTCGGGCGTGGCCCTGTTCTGCGGCTGCGGCCACGTGGCGCTGACCGGGACCCTGACCATGCTGGAGAACCACTTCTCCAGGGTCACCAGCGACCACGCCACGCTCGCCACCGTGTAAGTGACGCCGCCGTTACCGTGACGATCCGAGAGATAGTGTTTAAAACTCATAACACTGAGCTCCACGTACACATGTGTACAAGTACACAGTCCATGTATAAAAGTACACAGTCCATGTACACATGTGTACAAGTACACAGTCCATGTACACATGTATACAAGTACACAGTCCATGTACACAAGTACACAGTCCATGTACACATGTGTACAAGTACACAATCCATGTATACAAGTACACAGTCCATGTACACATGTGTACAAGTACACAGTCCATGTACACGTGTACAAGTACAAAGTGCATGTAGACATGTGTACTAATACACAATTCATGTACGCATGTTTACAAGTACACAGTCCATGTTCATATGGGTACAAGTACACAGTCCATGTACACATGGGTACAAGTACACAG